TCCAACCAGTCCATCCTAAAGGAGATCAGTCCTGGGTGTTCATTGGAAGGACTGATGCTGAAGCTGAAACTCCAATACTTTGGCCACCTCATGGGAAGAGTTGACTCATTGGAAAAGACCCTAATGCTGGCAAGGATTGGGGGCAGGAGGAGAAGAGGACGACAGAGGATGAGATGGCTGGATGGCATCACCGACTCAATGGTCATGAGTTTGAGTAAACTCCAGGAGTTGGTGATGGACAGGGAGGCCTGGCGTGCTGCGATTCATGGGGTAGCAAAGAGTCGGACACGACTGAGCGACTGAACTGAACATCTGACCTTTCAGTAGGTTACAATCTAGACTCGCCAGGTTGGGAGCCCACTGGCAAGACAGCTAAGGTTATGTGCCAACCGCCTTGGCGTTCAGTTCTCAGAAGGAGACTGTCTCCTAGTTCTTGCGGGGCACCTCACTGCTGAGCGTCATGTACAGCCCACAAGCTGCATGTCTGGGCAAACTGCTAATGGCATGATGTCTTGGCCATTGACCATTACAGGCAGCATGGAGACCTCCTGTTTCTCCACGGGACTCCTGGTTAATCTCTTCTGTCCAGATCTCTCTGCTGGGCTCCCAAAGATCATTTGGCTTGAGGGGTGGAGCATGCGACAAGGGGCAGCCACAGTGATGCAGGAAGACCTCATAGGAGCTGCAGCCATCACCCACGGCGCAGAGACTGGCGGCTTAGACTAAGGTTTCAACAGAGAAGACAGGAAAGTGGAGTACTGGGGAGAAACTGAGGAGGCCGAAGTGAAGAACCTGGTGACAGACTGTACGTGGGGCATGGCGAGAAGACGCTCAGATTTCCCGAGTGGGCAACAGGGTGCCTGGTGCCGCCGTTCCCTAGGACAGAAACCCGGCATGGGTGGGCATGGGCTGGGAAAAGGTGCCGGGCTCGGTTCTGAACAAAGTGGGTTCCAGATGCCACGAGCTGGCTGGCAATGGATCAAGGCCTGGATAGGACATGTGCTCCCCAGCCCGCCTCGCTTCGCTCACTCACCTTACTAGCCTATCAGAAGGTGAGAAGCAAGTAATTTAAGATTCTTTCTGGAGGAGGAAATGGCAACCCACTACAGTATTCTTGCCCGGGAAATGACCTGGGCAGAGAAGCAGGGCGGGCTACAGTCCGTCCACAAGGAGTCAGACACAACTGAGCAAATGCGTGCATGAGCACGCACATGTGCACATGCACACACACACACCTATATAGAAAGTAGACAGCCAACGGCAACCTGCTGTGAGCACGGGGCCTCTACCCACTGCTCTGTGGTGACTTAAACAGGAAGGAACTCTGGGAAAGAGTGGATACATGTAAATGTGTAGCTGATCTGCTTTGCCGCAGGGCAGAAACAAGCACAACATCGCAAAGCAGCTACATTCCAATAAAAATTAAGTTGAAAAAATAAAATTCTTTCAGAAACAGCACTCTTATTAATAAGCAAGGGTAAAGGTGGGGGTTTTGATTTCCCTCATGTCTCACCTCAAAACTGCAACCACAGCAGAACCTCAACCATCCAACTTCCCGAAAAACAAACTACTTCTTAGATTTAAGATGAATAAGACTAGTACTTACCAAATGTATCAAGTATGTCAGTGATAAGGACAAATTTGCTTGGGTAGAACTGGATAACACTTGTGTCCGAAAGAAGCTTTGAGCACTAGAAAAAGAGAAGAGAAAAGTCACTCGGTCGTGTCTGGCTGGGTTGAAACACTCCAAGCCTGGAAAGTAAAGGGTTTCTACAGACAAGTGCAGTTTTTACCATGGGCCAGGCCTGATGCCAATCTCTGGAGGCATAATTACAAGAAATACCGCTGTGCTTTTGACAATGGGAATCGACTCTGCTCACAGAAGAGCCTCTTAAGGAAAGGCGCCATCACCTCCCTCCAGAAAAGCCACAACTCAGGAACCTTGTCCAGAGGGTCCGAACTAGGATCAGCATGTAGTCACCAGGAAAGGCAACCAGCATCCTTGCAGGTGACTCCATCTTTTCAGTATGGCCTCCTCTGGTTTATTTCAGAATAGTCCTGATTCTTAAATGTTCTCTTCTATGAAATGACCCCACAGGTAAACCTCCAGGGCTTCTTAAAGTAGCATCTATTATTTATACTCACTCTTAAATTTCCTTCTAAAAGGAAACCTGACAAGTTTCAAAGAGTTAGATGTTTCTCTGGAACTGTGCTCTGCAACACCAGGAACATTTTGGGTTTGCAGGAAATTGCTCAATCCCTCCACCATCACCTATGCCAGAAGACCATTGACATGTTCAGGACTCAAAACAGAAGATTACAGCCACACAACGTGGCCCCGAACATCCCAGATGAGGTCATCTTGCATAATCAAAAACAAAAATCTATCTCCACTTTGAAGAATACAAAGTAATACCCTGAAGTCTTTACAGATTCAAAAGTCTGGATAAGGAACTAGATAACCTTGCCATAGTTTATCAGAGATAAAAAATGTCCTGTAAAAAACAAAACTATTTGGACATTTAGAAAGAGTCCTTTCACATGTATGCACTTTCAATGTGCAGTGAATGGCTAGAAAGTTCATCTTATCAAGATGTAGACTGACATGTGTTTTCAGTTTGGCTTTGTTACCCAATCTGTAAATTATTAGATGATTTATCAAGTTTCTCTTTAGCATTATATAATTAAAAGTAAACAACATGTCCAATTTGTGAAGCAACCTCTCATAGCCCAAATGTTATTTGGGGTGTGGAGGTGAGGGGAACGTTAAGCTGTGAAAACAATGGCATTGACACTAAGTGTGGCATTTGTATATACACAGAACTCCATTTCCTGACACCTTGCTTTATGCTTCTCACATGCCCTTTATGAGAGCTCCAACCTAAACAATTACCCCATGAGACTTCCGGGCTTGGAAGAAACAAACAGCTCTGAATCTTAGGGACTGTTTATAGTACACAGCACTTGGTTCCTAGGGATGTGACATCTCCTGAGTTTCTACCAGAGCCCCTCAGAGATGAGTTACTGCCCGTGGTGAGGACGGAGGGAGAGAGAATTCAAACAGAAGATTTCAAATTAAACACAGCTGGCGATTCCCAACACTGCATTGATTTTGTCTCCCAAGCTGGTGTCACAGAGTATAAGGTTTTTTTAATCCAAAGTTGAAGTCATAATAATGCTATAAATTGAAGTCACTATTTTGAAGATTCCACAGCTATTTTTTTTAAAGCTTTGCTGCAGTTTCCTAAACTAATAAAAATCAGGCACCCCATGGTACGTATTAAAAACAGAATCCCTGCTCCTCTCCAAACCTACTGGTCAAAACCACCTGTGGAGGCACCAGGGAATCAGCATTTCAAACAAGGGCTCCAGGTGCCGCAGGGACACAAGCCTGGGACACACTGGGCCCATGAAATCCACCGTCTGCACTACCCTCTGAGCGGAATAAGCATTCTACAAACTAGGGGTTCTCAGCTTCAGAATAACCTGGGGGACTTCATGCAGTAACAGTGCCTGGGATTCTGATCAAGCAGCTCCAGTGTTCAGCTTGGAAAACAAGATTTCTTAAAGCTCCCAAGTGATTCTAATGTGCAGCCAAGGTTGAGCACCATTGTTATAAACATTTCCTGAGCAAGTGACTGGTAAATTACCTGCCTGAAATACTTGCTATCGAATTTATCAACACTGCAGAAAAAATACTAAAGGAATGTTTTTCATTTGTTGCCAATTAGTGATATTCTAGAAGGAAACTAACAATTTCAAAAACTAAATTGGAATTAAAAAACAAAATTTTGAACCAAAGCAAATGAATAAATTAAAAGATAACCTATCAATGAGTACTGAGAAAGTATGACTAAATGGATGAATGGATGGATGGATGGATGGATGGGAGGAAAGAAGGAAGAAAGCAGACCAATCAGAGGACAATTATTGCCTAGAACATATATTTTTTAAATCCTAAAAATCAGTAAGAAAGATACAAATAACATAATGGAAAAATGAGCAAAAGGAATCAAAAAAAGGCATCTTACAGAAAAAGAAACCCCAGAGGCCAATAAACATTTGAAGAGATGCTCAATCTTATTATAACCAGGGAATTGCAAATTAAAATCACAATAAAATATGACCTTATTACCTCCTAAATTAGAAAAATTAAAATAGGAAGTCTGCTCATACCAAATGTTGGGAGGCTGCTGAAAAGCGCAGCCTCTCACAGTCTGTCAGGACCGCGCAGGCTGGCACAGCTACCGCAGAGCCTAACGTGGCATCATCTGGAAAAGTGGATGAGGCACACACCATACACCCGAGCTAGTCTACTTTTAGGTATGGGCCCTCATTAGAGACACACTTTACATGGTCACCAGCAGACATGACTAGTGTTCACACTGTTCATAACAATGAAAAAGGAAAAAGAAAAGGAAAGAACCAGACCCTCATCAACAGAAAGAATGATACATAATTTATGCATCAGTAGATTAATTCTGGTTCAAATGGCAAATCTCTCCATCTGATCTATAGGGTCAGTACAATCCTTATTAAAATCTCAGAAGGTTTTGTTTTTTCTTTTTGTTTTTTGGTAGAAATTGATCCTAAAAATTCATATGGATACACAAAAGACCTAGAAGAGCCAAAACAATTTTGAAAAACAAGAAAAAGCTAAAACACTTATACTACCTAGTTCCAAAACTTACCATAAAGCTATAGATTAAGACAGGTGGTACTGGTTTAAGGACAAACTTAGAGATCTACGGAATAGAATTGAGAGTTCAGAAATAAACCCTTACATTTATGGCCAACTGACTTGAGAAAGATGCCAAGATAAGTCAATAGGAAAAAGTCTTTTCAGCAAATGCTGCTGAGACAACTGGATATCCATAAGCAAAAAGAAATAAATTTAGACACTCACACTATACATACAACATAATAATTCAAAATGGACCATAAACCTAGATGTAAGAGCTAAAACTATAAAACTCTGTAGAAGAAAATAGGAAGAAATTCTCATGACCCTGGGTTATGCAAACAGTTCTTGGATACAACTCCAAAAGCATGGGCCAAAAAGAAGAAACTGATAAAATGAACTTCAAAAACTTCTACATTTCAAATGAAATGAAAAGACAAGCCACAGACTAGGAGAAGAATATATGTACATCATGTATTTAATAAAGAATTTATATCACAGATAAAAAATTGTTACAACTCAGTAAAGTAGATAAATGAAATGACTTTTTAAAAGGGCAAGTCTTGAATGGACAGTTCACTAAAGAAGATATAAAAATGACCAATAAACATGAAAAGATGCTCAATATCATTAGTCAGGTGGGATATGCAAATTAAAACAGCATGGGCTACCTCTTCACACCCAATCAGATGGCTATAATCAAAGAGATGGAAAATAATGAAACAAGTGATGGAGAAGATATGGAGGAACTGGAATCCTCGTACACTGCTGGTGGGAATGCAAATGGTGCAGCCATTTTGGAAACCAAACTGGCCATTCCTCAAAAAGGTAAACATAAACTTACCATATTATTTAGCAATTCCATTCCTAGGAATCTATCCAAGAAAAATGAAAATATATGTCCACAGGAACACTTGTATGCAACTGTGAACAGCAGCATTATTCACAGTGGCCAGAGTGGAAACAACCTAAATGGCCACCAACTTACTAATAGGTAAGAAAAATGTGGTTATGCCTGCAGTGGAAAACTATTCTGCAGTAAAAAAAAAAAAAAAAAGTGCTGATATAACAACAGGGATGAACATCAAAAACATGGTAAGTGAAAGAAGCCAGAGGCAAAAGATTACATCTTGAATGACCCCACATACATGAAATGTCCAGGAAAGGTAAATTCACAGAATCAGAAAGCAGATCTGTGGTTTTTCTGGAGCTCAAAGTGGCAGTAGCTATGAAAATGTTCTAAAACTGGATTGTGGAATAGCTGTGGAACTCTATAACCTTACTAAAAATTACTGAATTGTACATTTACAATGGTGAATTTTAGGACATGTATATTATCTCAATAAAGTTGAAAAAACAAAGTAAAATCTTACTACAAAGCAAATAAGGGCAACTGTGCTCATTTCTCCATACTCTGTGCCTTCACTAGCTTTTTTGATAAAGAAGCTAGTCTTTCAAGTACTGAAAGTCAAATAATTACTATTAACCAGATGTGGAGTTAATTAAACACTTTTATGGTTCTATTCTTTGGGAAGACATGAATCAAATCTCCTCCAGATGTAAAACTCTTAGAAGTCACAGTTCTGTGCTACAAAACTCTATGGAGAGATGTTGCCAACGAAAATATTTTGAAGAAGCTCTTCGTAGTGTAGATATTTTCTCACTTGAGCCACTCAGCAAGCAACCTCCATCATGTGCCTCCAGGATGAGAGAAACCTTCAGATATTTACTTTGTCAACTAACAACTGTGATGGAAGGGAAATGGGCTTGGGTTTGCCTCTATCATGAACACCAAAATAAATAGTACCTGCCATACAAAGTGTCATCCTAAACGCTTTCAAGTACTCAGTGTAACGACTCTCAGATTCTAACCCTTCTCCAGAAAAAAAGGTAAGAAAACAAATGTCCCATTCCCATGACAATAAACAAGAATGAGAGCTAGTACTTCTGAACTAAAATATGGCTGTTCAGCAATTCTGTTACCTCTGCTGTGAAAGTCATAATGCATAAGTCATTCCTTGTATAGTGTACTTCTGGATTTGTTTTGCCAAGACAGGATGTTCTTATGATTCAAGAGACAGGATAAGCTGTTTTCCCTACAGAACTTGCTCTCGTGATCCAAAAGTTGTCATGGATCAACAAAAAGGACTCAACAGATGTACCTCTGACACTATAAACACATTGTCTGTGCCACATCATTATACAGAACATGACACCGAAATACATACATCAGGAACATGCAACCATTGGTCCTAAAGATACAAAGAAAATCTGGTCAAAAACCCAAAACACAGTTGCTCAATCTTTATTCTATACAGATCATAAATGTGTCAGGGGCTGTAACAGGGCCAACAAACTGCACAACCCTGGGGGGGACATCAGTGATTCTGTAATCCAGGGTGAAATTTCCTGGAATTGCACAGTGCATAATCTATACAGCTGCACATGGTGGCCCTGGGATTAGCCATCTCATAAAAAACACTGATTCATAATCATGGACTTTCAAAGGAGGTAGGTGAAAATGGAACAGGTGAAAAAATTAGGGTAAGACCCTGAAGGCAGGCCTCTGAAAACCCTAATTATCCACAAAGGAGTTTTACAAAGGAAATTGGGGGCGGCGGGGGGCGGTTTGCGGAATCACTCAACCTGACCTGGATGACTATTTTTAGAGCCTTCACTTTCTGGTCCGAGGCCCAGGCATCCTTCAACGACTGGTTGAGCTCCTCTATGCGGTTCACATAATCCTGTTGAGTCAAATTCAACAGCTCCTTTTGGGATCCCTGTGGGCAGAAAGTAGAAAGATACACGCACAGAAGAAAAACATTTTGGATTCCCCACCCTCCATGAATATTAGCTGGGTTTTGATCTGTAGGTTGTTCTCATATCCCAAGCAAGATCGATAGTTCTGTCTTGTGATCAAAGAAGTTCTTTGAGTTTTCTGCAAAGATGCAGAGGACAATGATTGAGAGACTGGCCTGGAACATAAGTCAGACCTAAGCCCACTCCCAGCTCAGTCACATTCTAGCCATATGACTCAAGATCAGCTGCTTTCCTCTGAGTCTCCTCTGTGAACAGTGATAACAGGACTTACCTTTATTCAACACACAGTTAATGGAGCATGTTGCGCACTAGGCAAGTATGGTATACTAGATGTCCCAGATACAAAGTTGTGCAAAAGGACATTACTTCAGGAATAATGGAGTTTAAGGTACAGAGGACAAGATGGACCCTAACACAGAGACAAATATTCAGGGGAACCAATTCTACGAAGATACATATCACAGTGTATCTAAATCTGAGGTGTCCACTGTAAGAAGCACAATTGTTCTACGTATCACTGAGGAAGACAAAATGCTGAGGGTGGACATCCATCAATTGACAGAGACAGCTCAATTTCAGGGATATGCCAATGTTGGGGAAAAGGTTCACCTTAGTCTAGACTGGTGGTCAAAAATGGTTTCCTGGAGCAAGTGACACTTGAAACAGATTCTCAGTGGGGTGCAGGTATTAACTAGGCGATGGAGGGGTATTAACTAGACCAAGAAGAGTGCATTCAGGACGGAGAGCAGACTCAGCAAAAACCCAGGGCAGAAGCGGGTGAGGTCATCACTTGGATGAAATAACAACATATGTGAAGACCAGTACCATTGGCACATAGTACATGCTTATTAATCCTTGGCTTATTGTTAAGATGTTGATTACACAGCTCACAGGAGTGAAGGTCATGCTAACAACCCACATGAGGAGCCCGGGAACCAAATCCTTTTTATATGAATGTTCCCTGGAATCCAAAGTGAAAAACTCTTTTTTTTCTTTTTTTTTTTAATTGAAGTATAGCTAATTTACAACATTGAGTTCATTTCTGGCAAGGGTCCCGTAGTGTAGTGGTTATCATGTCTGCTTTACAACACTGTGTTCATTTCTGGTGTATAGTGAGGAGATTCAGTTATATCACATATGTATATATATTCTTCACATTCTTTTCCATCATAGTTTATTATAAGATACTGAGTATAGTTGCTTACTGTACTGTACAGTAAGTCCTTGTTGTTTCTCTATGTTATGTACAGTAGCCTGTATCTGCTAGTCCTAAACTCCTAATTTATCCCCCCACCCTTTTTCCTTTGGTAACCATAAGCGGGGGAAAAAAAAAAAGTTTTCTAAATCTAGAGCTTGTTTTTGTTTTGCAAGTAAGTTCATTTGTATTCATATTTTAGATTCCACATATAGATGGTATCATATGATATTTATCTTTTTCTGCCTGACTTACTTCACTTAGTATGATAATCTTTTGGTCCATCCACACTGGTGCATATGGTATTATTCATTCTTTTTATGGCTGAGTAGTATGCCATTGTATATATATATACCTTATTTTCTTTATCCATTCATCTGCTGGTGGATATTTACATTGCTTGCATGTCTTTGATATTGTAAATAGTGTTGCTATGAACGCTGGGGTCTAGGTATCTTTTTGAATTAAGAGTTTTCTACAGATACATGCCCAGGAGTGGGATTGCTGGAACAACTTTTTGTTAAAGAAATACAAGTAGGAGGTTCAGGAAATGTGAACTGATTCCAACTGGTTACTTGAACAGTGAGGTAGGATTCTCCCTGCCCCTCTGCTGTAAGAGGAACCACATGACTAGTCTGGACAAACGGAGGTGAACCGAGTTGCACGTGTCCCTTCTGGGCCAAGGCAATGAGAAGTGACCCTATCTCCAGTTCTGCTGCTGACAACCCTGGAACCGTCTGTTGAGACGGCAGCACCATGAGATGGTGGTATACCTGTCACCTACACTGGATGAGTAATGCGAGAAGAAATAAACCTTTGTTATATTAAGCCACTGAGACACAGGAGTTCATTTGTTTATAACCTTGCCTTGTCCTGACAAATATGCTATGTTAACCTGGAAGCCATGGGGCAGCCAGCTGCTGCTGTGAGCAGGGAGAAGCAAGGTACCCCTCAAAAAAAAGGAGAACTAGGAAGAGTCTGGAGGCTACACAGAACCAAGAGAGACAGAAGACAGCTGCTGGGGTTCCGGGTGGTTTTTCAGTTTCTGGTTCCAGGCCTGTGTGCCCTTGCATTCCGTGTACCCTTCAATACAGTCCTTATTTTCCACATCAACCAGTTCAAGTGAGTTTCAGATACTCGACAGACAACAGAGCTTTGATAAAACCCTTGGCATTTCCCTACCAGCCAAGGTTGGCTGGTGACATGCAGACTGGGGCTCTCAGGCACCCTAATTCAAAATGCCATTACTGAATTGAGAAATAAAATACTGGACTATTAGACTCTGCTTGAGCAGCTAACAATTCCAGTCTCAGGGCTAGAAGGACCCAGAAACCAGAGGCAAATGTAGAACAGAGCAATGGCAACTGCTATTACATGGAAAGAAAAAGTGAAAGTGAAGTTGCTCAATCGTGTCCACCTCTTTGTGACCCCATGGACTATAACCTATCAGGTTCCTCTGTCCATGGGATTTTCCAAGCAAGAGCACTGGAGTGGGTTGCCATTTCCTTCTCCAGGGGATCTTCCCAACCCAGGGATTGAACCCAGGTCTCTCTCATTGCAGGCAGATACTTTACCATCTGAGTCACCAGGGAAACCACTATTAAATGGACCTTTGTGATTTCAAGGCATTCCCATTCAGCCCACACAACTGTATTATTATGAGGAAATGAGAATAGTAAGATGAATGCCCAAGGCTACCCTGTTAATAAGCAGTCAAGCTAAGGCCTCTAGACTCAGAATGGTGGTGACATCAGCTAACACTTGCAAAGCATGTCCAATGTGCTAGGTGCTGGTCTAAGCACTTCACGTGCATTAACTCACGTAATCCTCTGTATTCACCCTAAGAGGCAGATACTAGGTAGCACCTCCACTTTACAGATTAGTAAACAGAGGCACAGAGCTCAAGTTCTTAAGCACTTTGTCCCAAATTACAGAATTACCAATAGTAGAGCCAGGATGCAAACCCAAGGTCTGGCTCCAGAGTTTGCTCTTACCTACCAGTCTCACCCCTCCCCAGGAACCAGGCTAGTAATGTTTATGAGTGAGCTGTGCCAGGGAGAACTACGCAATCTGGATGGTGCACATCCACGTTAAACATGAGACTGTGAGCCCACAGTCAGGTGGAATTTAAGAGAATCCAGGAATCTAGATTCACACTCATAATTTTTATGAGTTGGCAAAGCAGTTGTTCTTTAAAAGCACGTGCAGGCTAATGAAAGACTCCAGCAGCAGAGCAGCTGCGAGCAGCCTCTGCAGCAGGCATGGCCACGTCACACTATGCAAGGCAGCTTCCCGGGAGATAGTTCCAGTTGGCTTCCCCAGTTAAACTCTGTCCCCAGACGCCCTGGGTTTGCTCAAGTATCACAGTGAGAAGGACACCTTTGGAAAACCAACCCGAGGCAGACTCCTGCAAGCTGGGCCAACCGCACCGCTGGCATCTTTCCCCGGATCGGTTGGTGCCTCAGGAGGCCTGAACACAATGCGCAGCTCGAGGATTAATCAGGGAGCAGCCACTGAGATTGACTTCGCTTGGCAGAAGCACCGGAAGCATCACTGCTCCCGGGATTCAGCAGATGACTCGCTCACCTCCTCAAAGTCATCCAGCTCCTCCAGCCTGGTCCGAACCTTCTCTGACATTGCAGATGTGGCGGTCCCAGCTTTGCCTAGACAGAATGGATTTATGTCACACGGGTGGCTTCCCTCTGTCACCAATACCCCCAAAGGAAGGCATCGTTCACTCTACACTTCTTCATAAATAAAGAGGCTGGGGAACAATTTTATTACAGACAACTCCCTGAGATTTTGAAAGCAACATCCTTACGTAACCCAAGTTTCATTGGAAACATTTCTGCCTAGGAGTTGTTCGTGGGAACACAGCGGGCCAGCCTCAAAAGGGTTCCATGACATTTGATATTTACAAACTTTTCACTAAATCATTTGTTTATTCCTAAAGAAAGGCAGTCCAGATAAGGATGCCAAGAGTCCATCATAGTTGTTTTCCTCAAACAAAAGGCCCTCTCAGGCTCTACTCACAGTGTAGAATTGTTGTACCAACAGCTAACAGAACAACGATCCCACTGTCCAGAAGTGGAAACACTAGGGCTTCAAAGCCCTCTCTTCAAGCAAACAGGACTTGTAAGCCGCCTTCCCTTGTCCATCATCACAACCATTCTCATCAGCAGGGACTGGAGGGAAGAGAAGGAAAGGACCCCAGGCCGTAGGCCAGTCACAGGGCAGGGCTCTCTGTAGAGCTGCCTGTTGTCCTCCAGAGCCTTCTATTTCCAAACCCTTTCTCCATCTTAAAGGGGTTTCTGTTCTAGACCAGAGGCCCACTTGTTCCTGCCTACCGAGTTTACTCTCAGGAACTAAAGTTTACTCTTTTAAGGCACTGGTTTCGTAGCTCTGGTGTTAATGCACAGATTTGCTGAGATCAGCTGAGAGCATGGTACAATTATTCAATTACTAACAACTACTAAGATTCCAAATAATTTGATTTTTTTGATCTGGTTTCTACTTTCCCCTTCATTTTGAAATATATCACAGAACGTACATATATGTACATTTTAGCAGACCATCATAAAACCTTTGTTGAGAGTCCCTTGGACAGCAAGCAGATCAAACCAGTCAATCCTAAAGGAAATCAACCCTTCACTGGGAGGACTGATGCTTAAGTTGAAGCTCCAATACTATGGCCACCTGATGCAAAGAACTGACTCATTGGAAAAGATCCTGATACTGGGAAAGACTGAGGCTAAGAGGAGAAAGGGGCGACAGAGGATGAGATGGTTGCATGGCGTCACTGACTCAGTGGACATGAGTTTGAGTGAACTCCAGGAGATAGTGAAGGACAGGTTAAGCCTAGCATGCTGCAGTTCACAGGGTCACAAAGAGTTGGACACAACTTAGCGACTGAATAATAACAACATAAAACCTTTGCAACCACCACCCAGATATTTTCTTGCTTCTTTCACTCACCACTAACTTTAGTTCATGAAGTTTACCCATGTCGTTGCACAGAACTGCAGCTAACTCATTTTCATTGCTGCTTGGTATTTTCCATGGTGTGAATACATCACAAATTATTTCTTATTTTACCATCAATGGATGTTTGGGTTGTATCCTGTTTGGGGTTACTGTGAACAACACTGCTATGAACATTTCTGTGCATGTCTCCTCGTTCCTATATGCATGCATTCCCTCAGGGCAGTGCTGCTCAAACTTTGACAATAATCACTTAAGAATGTGTTAGCATGCGGGTTCTGATTTTTAGTAGGTCCAGTAGGGCCTGTGACTCTGCATATCTAATGAGCTCCCAGGTGATGTCACTGACCACACTTTAAGAAACATGGACTTGGGCAGAGTTGAAAAAATGCATTCTCTAGAAAGCCATATATAAGTATTTTAGATTTTGTGAGCCATACAATCTCTGCCACAACTACTCAACTATGACATTAGAGTACAAAAGCAGCCATAGACAATCTGTACACAAACTGGCAAGGCTTTGTTCCAATAAAACATAACTTACAAATTAAACCAGATTTGGGCCAGCTTTGGCCTTGAGGATACAGTTTGCCAATTTCTGATCTAGGGTATATTCTGATAGTGGAACTGCTAAGGAAAAAGATTGGGCCATCTTCAATTTTAACAGATAATACAAAACTGCTCTATACAGTGGTTGTGTCATTTTATACTCCCATCAGCATCACATGACACTTCCTGTTGCTCTATTTTCTCACCAGCCAGTGATATGGTCACTTTTTGATATCTCCAAACTGGTAGATATGCAATGCTATGGTTTACTTTTTTAATGGTTTGGGGTCAAAGTTATGCCTATAACAAAGGTGCCCCCACTCTCTTGATTTCTAATGTGCTGTCTCAATCTGCAGAGAACACAGAGCTGCAACTGCCATACCAGCAATTTGCAATGCAGCACGCCTGTGCCCCTCTGCACCCCAGTGATATAGGAGCTAAGTCAGTGGCTTCAGAATCATCCAGGAGCTTCAAAAATGGAATTCCTGGGACCCATTCTGCAAGATTACTTTGAGAAGCAGAGTAGGACCTAGTGGTCTATATTAGTATGAAAAATAAATATATATATTCCCCAGATGACCCTGCTGCAAAGCGAGTATGAGATGCTCTGGTCCAGACCATGTCTCCTGGCTGAATAGAATAAATTGAGAACTGCTGTGTTCAGGGACCAATCAATGGCTGGTAAAACTGAATGTGTGATTCCGCTTATTGGTGGATCTGTGCTTTCACAAGGGATAAAGATGTAAAGCGAAGGAAAGAATCTCTAAAAAGAAGAATTTCAACCATTCCCCAGCCAGTGAGGAGGCATACAAGAGGGGTGACTACACTCTATAATCCCAAAATCAAGGTTTCTGTTTTACTCCTAGTAGTAGCCTCTTTGGTCTTTTTTTCTTTCATTCATCATCTAAGTATGTATTTCAATTCTACTAAGTCTATATATAATCTAGGAAATAATAGCTTCAACTGAATTAAACATCAGGATTGGATACTACAAACTTTTTTTCTTTGGAAAGCTATTTTAAAGGTAATGGGAGAATTCTCCACCAAAACAGTAACAACAAAAACTCACCTTTTTCAGATCCCATAAAAAGATTCTGCAGAGGCAAAAAAAAAAAAAAAACCCAATTATTAATATTTTCTAAAGCACACTGGATTCTATGTCAAAAACTTATATTTAAATTATCCAAGTTAAAAAAAAAATTATCCAAGTAGAAATAAGACCACATGAGCCATCATTTTGCAACAAAGCCATTTACTTATCCAAATGAAAAAGAGAAACATTTATTCAAAGAAAGAAAATACAGCTCACTAGAAACTACTAGAGATTCAAATGTCTAGTCAATTCAAGACTCTCAAATCGAGACAACAAAGAGCAAGATTTTGAGAACGATGGTGGCCTTCAATGTAATCTAATAAATCAAGGTTTCATAACCTTGGCAATACTGATGCTAAGAGGTAGAAAACTGTTGTGGGGGGCTGTCCTGTGCACTGCAGGATGTTTAGCATGATCTCTGTTTTTCCATATTAGATACCAGTAGCACTCCCACGGCTGAGACAACCAAAATGTCTCCAGACATTGCCACATATCACCTGGGGAGTAAAGTTACTCCTGGCTGAGAATCACGGCTCTATATTAACTCAAGGCAATCAGAAAACAGTAAGAAAAAATTTTAAATAGACCAGCAATTCTGCCACCATTCTTTTTAACAAGTACAGACTGGAAGAAGGGGCTAGAACCTTCCCAGCTGCTACTGAGTTCACCCCTTCCTCCCTGCTCACAGACCCAATTTCTGATGGATGCACTGTGAACAGTCCATGACGACCTTCAAGACAAATGAAACTGGACGTGTTGAATGAACTCCAGGAAGTGTTCTTGAGCATGAGAGGGTGCATCCCACTTCTCCCCTTCCACCGTCTAACAATTTGGACATGAGATGACACTGAACAAGACAGAGAAGCAAGACAGAGTCGGGTCCCTGATGACTTCAGAGGTGCCACACAGCCCTGGACCACCAGCCTCCAGGCATCTTTCCAGTGTGAAGAGAGATGAAGCCTTAGGGAAGGCTTCAGTTACAAGCTAGTCCTCAAGTACATAAGCATAACCTGCTTACCCCAGTTGAGCAACTTGCAGAGTATATGGGGTAAGCCCCGGTCATGAGCCAACAACTTGACCTAGTGGCCATCATCTAAAGAAACACTGAACCTCGGGCCCTGGCAGAAAATCCACCAGTGGGACTCTCTGAACAACAGGAAGAAGTTAACCTTCTTCAGGATGGCTCTCTCCTTCCCTCAAACCTCTCACCTCTCCCAGAGATGGGACTGTGTGACTCCAGTTCTTTTTTCTGAACTGTGCCTGATACCTGATTCCTGACACATTTTTTGAGCAACCAATCAGCATGTTTTATCCCAACTAATACTCACATACCAACTGAAAAAGAAACTAGGCAACATAACTGCGATACTGTGATTTATAATAAGAAATACATGCTTAGTCTTTGTCTAGATACCAGACACAAAACTCCAAATCCTTGGAACTTCCTAGAAGAGAACAATCCAGGAGTCTTTTGTTATGTTAATGAGGTGGATTTTTTTCAGCACCAAAGGATGAGGGCTGTTTGTCAGGGAATCAACCTTTCAGTCCCACCTCCCTGATTTCCCAAGAGGAGGGAGGGACTAGGGGCAATTACCAGTGGCCCACAACTTAACGAATCCTCCTATGTAATGAAGCCTGCATAGAAACCCAGAAAGATGGGGTTCAGAGAGCTTCCAGGCTGGTGAACCAGAACACATCCACATGTTGCAATGCTGCACCCCTAACTCCGTGTGAAGAGTTGCCCCTTTGCTTAGGACCTCACTCTAGGTATCTCCTCATCTGGTTATTGGTTCATATCCTTTAATATCCTTGGTAATAAACCAGTAATCCAGTGAGTCAACTGATTTCTCAGTCCTGTGAGCCATTCTGACAAATTACTGTGTGCTTAGTCGTTCAGTTGTGTCTGGGTCTTTGCGACCCTTTGGACGGTAGCCCACCAGGCTCTTCTTGTCCATGGGATTTTTCAGGCAAGAATACTAGAATGGGTTGCCATTTCCCTCCTCCAGGGGATCTTCCCAACCAAAGGATCAAACCCAAGTCTCCCACATTGTAGGCAGATNGGATCAAACCCGCCACTCCTGCATCTTCTGCACTGTGGGTGGGTTCTTTACCCACTGTGCCATCAGGGAAGCCCCAAGTGTTAGTTGCTCAGTCGTGTCCAACTCTTTGCAACTCCATGGACCTTAGCCCAACCAGGCTCCTCTATCCATGGAATTCTCCAGGCAAGAAAACGGAGTGGGTTGCCATTCCCTTCTCCAGGGAAATCTTCCCAACCCAGGGATCGAACCTGGGGCTCCTGCACTGCTGGCAGATTCTTTACCATCTGAGTCACTAGGGAATTAATAGTAACTGAACCCAAAGAGGTGGTCTTGGGAACCTCTGACTTATAGCTAATTGGTCAGAAGCAGAGCAACAACATGGACTTTTGACTGGCATCTGATGTGGGGTTGAGCCCTTAACCTGTGGGATCTGATGCTTTCCCCAATATCACAATTGAGTCGATTTACAGGCCACCAAGCTGGTGTTAAAGAATTGCTGGTGGGGGGCAGCGGGCTGGGAACCTATATGCTGGAATCAGGCGCAGAATCGTAATAACAAGAAGAAATGACTACTACATCTGAAGCAGACACTGGGAGAAAAGTGTCCTGTACTTACAATAGAGAGCTTTTCCGTGGTAGTGTACCGGGCAAGGATTTCTCCTCGTTTGCTGGCCCAAGGCTCAAAATCTGATCCTACAATGGAGTAATCATCCCTGTCACGTTTCTTTCTGGAGTTGTCCTAAGGAGAGGCAAGACAATCTCTTCAGCAGCAATTGTTTCAAAAAGTGTAAGTAACCATGGTGATGACAGTTGATAACAGTATTGGATAACTGAAATCTGCTAAGACAGTAGAACTTAAATGTTCTCATAAAAAAAAGGGGGGGGTAAATATGTGAGATGACAGACAAGTTAACTCAATGTACGGAATATTTTCACAATGTCTATGTGTATCAAATCATCATATTGGACATTTTAAATACATTTCAATTTTATTTGTCAATTATATCTCCACAAGGTTAAAAAAAAAAAGGCATGAGCAGAAAGCAGATAGTCCTTTACTGGAGAATATAATAGATCCTTACAAGGAGACCTCTTTATTTGTGAGGAAGCCTTACAAAGAGCTGAGAAAAGAAGAGAAGGGAAAGGTAAAGGAGAAAAGGAAAGATATACCCATTTGAATGCAAAGTTCCAAAGAGCAGCAAGGAGACATAAAAAAGCCTTCCTCAGTGATCAATCCAAAGAAACAGAGGATAACAATACAATGGGAAAGACTAGAGATCTCTTCAAGAAAATTAGAGATACCAAGGGAACATTTCATGCAAAGATGGGCTCAATAAAGGACAGAAATGGTATGGACCTAACAGAAGCAGAAGATATTAAGAAGAGGTGGCAAGAATACACAGAAGAACTGTACAAAAAAGATCTTCATGACCCAGATAATCACGATGGTGTGATCACTCACCTAGAGCCAGACATCCTGGAATGTGAAGTCAAGTGGGCCTTAGGAAGCATCACTACGAACAAAGCTAGTGGAGGTGATGGAATTCCAGTTGAGCTATTTCAAATCCTGAAAGATGATGCTGTGAAAGTGCTGCACTCAATATGCCAGCAAATTTGGAAAACTCAGCAGTGGCCACAGGACTGGAAAAGGTCAGTTTTCATTCCAATCCCAAAGAAAGGCAATCCCAAAGAATGCTCAAACTACCGCACAATTGCACTCATCTCACACGCTAGTAAAGTAATGCTCAAAATTCTCCAAGCCAGGCTTCAGCAATACGTGAACCGTGAACTTCCAGATGTTCAAGCTGGTTTTAGAAAAGGCAGAGGAACCAGAGATCAAATTGCCAACATCCGCTGGATCATCGAAAAAGCAAGAGAGTTCCAGAAAAACATCTATTTCTGCTTTATTGACTATGCCAAAGCCTTTGACTGTGTGGATCACAACAAATTGTGCAAAATTCTTCAAGAGATGGGAATACCAGACCACCTGACCTGCCTCTTGAGAAATCTGTATGCAGGTCAAGAAGCAATCGTTAGAACTGGACATGGAACAACAGACTGGTTCAAATTGGGAAAGGAGTATGTCAAGGCTATATATTGTCACCCTGCTGATATAACTTATATGCAGAGTACATCACGTTAAGTGCCAGGCTGGATAAAGCACAAGCTGGAATCAGGACTGCTGGGAGAAATATCAATAACCTCAGATACGTAGATGATACCACCCTGATGGCAGAAAGCAAAGAAGAACTAAACAGTCTCTTGATCAATGTGAAATAGGAGAGTCAAAAAGTTGGCTTAAAACTCAACATTCAGAAAACTAAGATCGTGGCATCTGGTCCCACCACTTTACAGCAAATAGATGGGGAAACAATGGAAACAGTGAATGACTTTATTTTGGGGGGTTCCAAAATCACCACAGATGGTGACTGCAGTCATCAAATTTAAAAAAGCTTGCTCCTTGGAAGAAAAGCTATGACCAAGCTAGACAGCATATTAAAAAGCAGAGACATTACTTTGTCAACAAAGATCCCTATAGTCAAAGCTATGGTTTTTCCAGTAGTCATGTATACATATCAGAGTTGGACTAGAAAGAAAACTGAGTCCCGAAGAATTGATGATTTTGAACTGAGCTGTTGGAGAAGACTCTTAAGAATCCCTTGGACTGCAAGGAGATCCAACCAGTCAACCCTAAAGGAAATCAGTCCTGAATATTCATTGGAAGGACTGATGCTGAAGCTGAAGCTCCAATCCTTTGACTACCTGATGGGAAGAACTGACTCATTTGAAAAGACCCTGATGCTGGGAATGGTTGAAGGCAGGAGTTCATTACTGGGTTAAGGCAATGTGTGTGTAAAATTTTGATGGCTACTGCCAGATTGTTCTCCAGAAAGTGCTTACCAGTTTACACTTTCATCAGCATAGCAGTATTTTGGAGTGCCTGTCCCCTGCATCCTTGCCAACTAGGATAATTATGAGTCATTGAAAACAGAGGATGAGATGGTTGGATGGCATCACTGACTCGATAGACATGAGCTTGAGCAACCTCCAGGAATTGGTGGCGAACAGGGAAGGCTGGCGTGCTGCAGTCCATGGGGTTGCAAAGAGTCGGATACAACTGAGCAACTGAACTGAACTGACAATAGATACATCTAAAGGTTTACTATGATAAAAACTTTTCAAGCCAATTCACCACAAAAGGCCAACAAACCTATCAAAAGATGCTCAAACTCATTAAGAATGAAGGAAAGGTAAAGTAAAAGAGATTATTTTTCAACAATCAGAATGGCAAGATTTGGGACTTTGCAGGTGGTCCAGGGGTTAAGACTCTGCATTTCCATGGCAGAAGGTGCAGGTTTGATCCCTAGTCAGGGAAGTTCCGCATGCCACAAGGTGTGGCCCAAGATTAAAAAAAAAGGTTTTCAATGACTCATAATTATCCTAGTTGGCAAGGACGTAGGGGACAGGCACTCCAAAATACTGCTATGCTGATTAAAGTGTAAACTGGTAAGCCCTTTCTGGAGAACAATCTGGCAGTAGCCATCAAAATTTTACACACACATTGCCTTAACCCAGTAATGAACTCCTAACAAGTTACCCCATAGAAACCCTTGTCCCTGGGCACCAAGATCTACGTACGTTCAAGGACCAATGCACCACTGCCTGTACCACCAAACACCACATACACACAGTTCATGTGTCCATCATGGCAAATTAAAGCATGTCCTGTTCCTTACAATACAATGCAGGATTCAAAATAAGAAAGTTGTTCTATAAATACTAATATAGAAAGTTCTCCGAGACATATGGTCAAGTTAAAAAAAAAAATGTTATGTATGTTAAAAAAGAAAAAGAAAGTCAACAGATGTATGCAATGCCAGCAAAGAATGATGGTGGATCCTAAAGTCAAGCCAGGACTTGAATTCTAACTTGGATGTGACTTAACATGTTTGTTCCGCTGTGTGGTCCTCTTTATATGAGGCTTATAATATCTCTTGCACAAGGCAGCATGGGAACTAAACTTGGAATTTACTGTAAAACATCTGCCATGCTGTTAGCCAATACTGTTATTACTGTTGATGCTATTATTTACATATGAGTATGTATGTAAATGTCCAGAAATTGTTGTCATAAATACCTATGAAAATACAAACAAAAAGTTAAATGATACGCATTTACACTGATAATACTGCTAACCTCCAGAGTGGAGAACAGAGTGAGGATGGGTTGACTTCATTGATAATATTTGATTTTTTAAATGAAAAATTAGCAAATTACTTATGTAATTACATAAAATCCAAAGGAAAGAACATAAAAAGAGTGAAATGAAAAATTTTTAAAAAGGGGACAGGCACTCCAAAATACTGCTATGCTGATTAAAGTGTAAACTGGTAAGCCCTTTCTGGAGAACAATCTGGCAGTAGCCATCAAAATTTTACACACACATTGCCTTAACCCAGTAATGAACTCCTAACAAGTTACCCCATAGAAACCCTTGTCCCTGGGCACCAAGATCTACGTACGTTCAAGGACCAATGCACCACTGCCTGTACCACCAAACACCACATACACACAGTTCATGTGTCCATCATGGCAAATTAAAGCATGTCCTGTTCCTTACAATACAATGCAGGATTCAAAATAAGAAAGTTGTTCTTAAGTACTAATATAGAAAGTTCTCCGAGACATATGGTCAAGTTAAAAAAAAAATGTTATGTATGTTAAAAAAGAAAAAGAAAGTCAACAGATGTATGCAATGCCAGCAAAGAATGATGGTGGATCCTAAAGTCAAGCCAGGACTTGAATTCTAACTTGGATGTGACTTAACATGTTTGTTCCGCTGTGTGGTCCTCTTTATATGAGGCTTATAATATCTCTTGCACAAGGCAGCATGGGAACTAAACTTGGAATTTACTGTAAAACATCTGCCATGCTGTTAGCCAATACTGTTATTACTGTTGATGCTATTATTTACATATGAGTATGTATGTAAATGTCCAGAAATTGTTGTCATAAATACCTATGAAAATACAAACAAAAAGTTAAATGATACGCATTTACACTGATAATACTGCTAACCTCCAGAGTGGAGAACAGAGTGAGGATGGGTTGACTTCATTGATAATATTTGATTTTTTAAATGAAAAATTAGCAAATTACTTATGTAATTACATAAAATCCAAAGGAAAGAACATAAAAAGAGTGAAATGAAAAATTTTTAAACGCTTTAAAAAAAAAAACAGCTGCAGTAGTTTCCAGGATCTACTCCAGCCTCTCAGCAGCAGTGCCATGAGACTACACTGAGCACTACTTGTTCAATGAAAACCCCCACCCCGGCACCCACAGGAGCGATCCAGCTGACAGCGTTACCATGGCAGCCGCCAGGGGTGCAGGGTCAGCAGAGGCTGCGAACATGGAGAGGGGGTCGGTCCCATCCAGGACGCTGCTCAGCGGGTCCACCACGGAGCTGGAGGATGAAGACGACGTGGAAGAAGTGCTTCCCTTCCGGCTCACTTTCTTTGTCTTTGACTCTGTGACCTGTGGGGAAAAACTGCGGAGGTAAAATGGAAGTCTCCTATGACCTCTCCCAATGAGACACTCAAATGGGTTTTCCCTCGTTTCATTATGAACTGATCATTCGTTTGTAGCAGGGACCCTTATTTTTCGTGAAAAGCTGACATGACTTAGAATCCCAGCTGTTGAGGACGAGAAGCTGAGAAGCTGGGATTAAGAAGGGAGAGACAGGGCCTCTGTGGATTAGAAGGTGATGATAGAACCGATTTTTCATGGGGCCTTCTTACTCAAAGTGTGGTTTCTGGACAAGCAGCATCCATTGCACATGGTGGCTTATAAACATGTAGACTCCCAGGCCCCACCCCAGACCCTCTGCATCAGAATTTACATTTGCACCAATGGTCCCCGTAGGGTAATGAACCAGAGTATGAGTGATCCCAGGGTCAGTGCCTCTGCATGGCCATCTCAACATCTCAAAACAGTGAGTGCCCAGCGCCTCCCTTTTAGGAGAACTGTGTATGTGCTGAAGGACATGTTTTTGCTCCACTGGCCCCCATTCCTCCCCAACTTCAGAAGACAGACCAGGATCTGAGCCAAGAAGATCCAACCAGAGTTTGTCTGCTGAAAATTGAGTCAACATTCAGAAGGGATAGTTAGGTTCCACTCCTTTTCAAAAGGAAGCTATGAAAACCCAGAACCAATCTTCAGAAAGACAGAACAGGATGCAACAGAATGAAGAAGAGAGGGTGTTGGATAAACGAGAATTTGACTGGCCTCTGTCCCTGGTTCCTGAAAAGGAGATTCCCTGTCCTTGGAGCACCATTCACTCATGAGCCTCTCGATCACAGCTGAGTGTATGCTAATAAGAAGATGCTACATGGGGGCATGAGAAAGACCAAACATGTGATTAGAGGGTCAAGACTTCCAGCCAGGTGATAAGAGCCTCACTTCAGTGGAGGTTGGGGGAAGCTGGAGATAAAGTTCCATCATGTGGCCAAGGAATCGGTCAATCATGCCTATATAAACAAAACCCCAAATGAAAGTTTGGACACCAAACCTCAGAGGAGCTTCCCAGTCAAACAGATGATGTGCTGGAAGGTGATGCACCCTGATTCCACAGGCAGAAGGCATGGAAGCTCTGTGTTTGCAACCCTGCCAGACCTTGCCTTGTATTTGGATGGTCCTCATGTGCATCCTTTATAACAAAACTATAAGCATAAGTACTGCACTTTTCTCAGTTCTGTGAGGTGTTCTAGCAAATTATCAAACCTGAGGGACACGGGGCTCACAGAGCTTAATCTCCAAAAGGCATCTAGTTTGAGTCTAGGCTGGAGTTGGAACTGTGGAGATGAGGAAGGAAACCTCACCCCCCAACCCCCAGACAGAGGCCGAGGAGGCTGGCCTCACTTGGGTACAGGACAGAGGTATCCTAGTGGCTTCCGATTCAGGAGCTGTTGAACTGGAGGAGCTGGATGAGAAGGAGACACTTACTGTCAGCAAGTTCTGCAAGTGTGGGCACGGTGACACTGTGTCTACAGTCAGGGTCGAGTTCCAGCACACAGCAGAAAAGTCCGAAGTAGAAAAGAAAACCTGCATCTAGGTTTTTAATTCATTCCAAGCTCACTCTGGGTAGGTCACCTGCGCTGCTGCCTCTCCCCACAAGGATTCTTCCAGGTGGTGAGGACAATGGAATTTTACTGCAGGACACCGGCTGTCTCAAGCCAGCATCACAGAAGGACTGCAGTGCCTCCGGCTACCTTCCTACCTCGCTGGCTGGGCCTCCTCAGCAGAACGAACCTATCTTCGGTGCAGAGAATGGGACTGTCTCCCTAGTGGACACCCAGAGTTCGAGCTGTGCCCTCAGCTAGCTGCACACTCTCAGGGTGTCCCTGGGCTGGTTCTCCCCACTCGGTTCTCCTTCCTAGCCTCTGTCAGTGAGCATCACTGACTCGCTATGGACTGAGGCCTTTCCAGAATGTTTAGAAGCCAAGTCCACAGAGACTTTGTGAGAGATGCTACTTGGCCCCCACTCAATCACAGCGGGCTGGGACCATCAGGTCACCCACCATCTCACTCCCACAGAACCTCTCCCAGAGCCTGGAGTGTTGCTGAGCAGAGTGGATTTCAGACCAAAAGCAAATCCCCCAGAAGTATCCACTCTCTTTGCCCCTGCCCTCTCAGCTGCAAGGAGCCATATACAGTATGTTTATTTATCGGATCTGTGCAGTTAATAGGCAATGTCTCTCGGCCTGGGGGAGGCCTGATTCTGGAGTCCTGAACTCATGGAAGAAAACCTTCCTTGAACATGGATATGTATGTGTCTGAGTGTGTGTTGGATACATAATTTTTGTTGGTGGGGGGAATAAAAAATCCTTCCTGTAGGGACTTCCCTGGTGGTCCAGTGGTGAGGTCTCCATGCTTCCAATGCAGGGGGCCTGGGGTTCGATCCCTGGTCAGGGAACTAGATTCCATTCCACATGGTGCAACAAAAGATAAAAGATCCCATATGCCGAAACTAAGACCCAGTATGGCTAACTAAATAAGTAAATGAAAAAAAAAAATCTATATCCCTCAAAAGTTAACAAAAGGTTTTTATGCTTCCCATGTAGCTTTGCCTGAGGAACTGGCCACGTCTAGATGAGGAATGAGACGTGGCATCCCTGGATTCTTAGAAGCAGCTCACAGAGACAGCAGCAACTTTTTTTTTTTTAATAGAGCCTAATTCGCCTTTATCGTGGGTAGTGCTTCTATTCACACTGAGCTCTAGCTCGAGGAAGAGCCAGGACACTCACCACAGTTTTGTGCATCTTCTTGTTATTAAATTGAACCAGAAGTCCAGTTTCTGGCTGAATAAGAAGTCTGGCCGGGACTGATGTAATGCCCCCACCTTGCCCCCACCTCAATGGAGCTGTGCATATGCGGATGAGTATATTTCTGTCATACACGCCATAGAAGACTTTCGGGACGGACAGCTTAAAGGCATTTCAGTTAAAAGCTGACACAGACTTGCACAGGAATGTCTGCCACTGTTCCATCTGAAAGCAGCCTGGAGCCCGACCATTTTTGCCTCTAGGTCCCTGTCTCTGGATATGGGAAGCCCGAATGCTGTTTTGGGGGACTCTGAAGATTTTAAATATAGCATCAGAGACACAACTGGAAGTACTGGTCAGGGAAATAAAAAGCTGACTCATTTAAAAAAAGGGAGATCTCCAGAAACCATGGATTTGGAGCCAGCTGATCAGAAGTGTGAGTGGCCTAGGGACCCCCACATTTGCTGCTGGAGTCTGAAGCTAGGGCTGCTTTACTGAAGGCCCTGCCTTAAACCTGTGGGGTTTGACACTAACGGCAGGTAGTTGGGTCAAGTGCCTTCACTGGTGCATGTTTGATGTTCCTGCCTGCCTGGCATCCATTCCATCTCCCAGGCTCAACAGTCTCGATTTTCTTTGGGAATGAAAGTAGCCCTACCTGACTCTCAGCTCTTACAGGCCTGGTGGAGTGGACCCTGCTCCCGGTTCCCATGGTGGGCATAACCCAATCAGCATATTCTATACCCCAGTCACCAGGATTGATTTGGGGAAGGACATGTAACCGAACTGAGCACATGGCAACTGCAGAGAAGAGACTCTCCTTGCTGCTGGGTTTGAGTTTCTGAGATTGGAACCTACTCACTGGTGGGTCAGCTGCAGCCACATAAGCCCACAGGGATTTGAGGGGCCCTGTGAGGTTGAAGCTCAGTCTTGTGATCGCCTGCTTTACAGAATCACCTCTACGTTTTCAGGTTCTCTGTCATTCAGAAACATCACGTCCTCAGTATCCACTGGCATCTGTCAACTTCATCCCACCCAAGATGACAACCACACGGCATCCATTACTTGCTAATAAAAAAAGTGCTAACCCAAGAGGGACCATCTATATCTCTTGCCTGCTTTTTGTTTTGTTTTTTAAATAAATTCACAGATAGACTAAGATGCTATTTAGGACAGCACCCCATATTAGTAATTAGTGCTTGTGCTAAGTCACTTCAGTCATGTCCCACTCTTTGTGACCCTATGGACGGTAGCCTGCCAGGGGATTCTACAGGCAAGAATACTGAAGTGGGTTGCCATGCCCTCTTCCAGGGATCTCACGATCCAGGGTTTGACCCACACCTCTAACGTCTCCAGTATTGGCAGGCAGGTTCTTTACCACTAGTGTCACCTGGGAAGTCTTTATATAATGAATTAATTCATCAAGTATTACACCAACCTTAAATGCCAAGTACTGCATGGAAGGGCTGAAACTCAGTACTGTACAATCCCTTAAAAATTTAAAATTTTTCACCTTTGAGGCTTGGCTACCATAAATCAAATGTTCTTTCTCTTCATGTTCATGCTTTAATGAAACCACCTCATTTTCTCAAACACCTAATTACCGTGTAGTCTTCAGATCCTGAAGCTCCCCATTTTTGCTCCCCATTTTTCCCCATTTTGACTTATGTTTCTGCTTTCTTTTATTCTTCCACTTTCATGCAAAAACCTTTGAAGCTCATGCCATTCTCCTACATTGTTCTCCATCATTTTTATGCGGCAGTTATCAATTTATTGTGCATCAGTTCCAAATCCACCCTTTGCTATACATTGTGATACTAGAACACAGCTAGCACAATGTTAGATTTTGAGAATAGAGGGCACTCAAAGGCAACAGCAGCAGGAAGATATTCTCATCAGGGTTCCAATCCTCCATTTTAAAATTCAGTATAGAAGCCCAGTGGTCCTCAAAGACCAGTTTCAGCTGTACCCTCAGGCCATGCTCTTCCCATCTGACAGCTCTATCAAGGCTCTTTGCCATAGGCAACCTGTGTGTTCCTGTGACAGCCATACCCTCTTCAACAACGCTGAATTTCAGCCTGGGGGTGGGGGAGAGGCTCTATCATATCATAAGTCCTCAAGGTTCCTTCACTAACCTCTGTTCCTCAACCTGGAGCTGATGTCTGCATCTTTGTACCTGGTACTTTTGGACCTCTCAGAGCAAGGTTGGCACTGTTATAAGGCCCAACAGCAAATATTTTAGGCTTTGTGGGCCAAACAGTCTGTCCCAATTCAACTCTGCATAAAATAGACATAGAGAATATATAAACGAATGAGTATGGCTATGTTCCAATAAAACTTTATTTACAAAACTGGGCTACTGGCCATAATAATGCCAACTCCTGCTTTAGCCCTGTTTCATCCTTTATAGTAATTAACTATCTTTTACTAATTAACAATTCTTTAAATTTCCCTGTTCAAAAATCCTCTATAGTTTCTGTTGCCTGACTTGGTCCCTGACTGACGGATCTGCCTTGCCACTGACATGTGGTTATTTCCTCTACTACCTGCCTTATTTTTGCTCTGGACATTTATCTAACTTTCCACGCTATATCCTACTCTTTGCTACTCTTTGCAAAAAGAAGCCTCAGTTAAATGTCCATATGACAAATTCACAACATTTTCAACCCCAAAACTGTACCCTATCAGAATCTTAACAACAATATAATATTCTTATCACAATCTCCTTTGCTTCCAGCCCTCACACTCTCGCTCTGACCAAATCTGTTCTCTGAGCTCAGACTTCTCTGCTTCTTCCACCAGGCAGCTAGTGCATCTAAGAATATCTCACAGCCATAAAGATCCAATGGTCTCCAATTTCAGCAGGCATCTGTACACCATTTAACATTCCTTTTACAAGCCCTTGGTCTGCTCTCTTTCCCATTTCCCTTAGAATATGAAGCCTAACCATATTTCTTGCATCAAAAACCCCTACTGCCACCCTTGGTTCATTTAGTGAAATAAATTAACAACTTATCCCTCGAAGACTAAGACCAGAAGGAATCAAAACTTTTACAACTTTCTGACCACTCCCATAAACCTGCCTGAGAGAATTTAAGACATGCATCCACACAAAAACTTATACATGAATGTTTATAGCAGCATTATTCATAATAGTCAAAAACCATAGATAGGAACTTCCCTGGCAGTAGAGTGGATAAGAATCCGCCTGCCAATGCAGGGGATGTGGGTTCAATCCCTGGTCCGAGAAGACTCCACATGCTGCGGGGCACCAAAGCCTGTGGACCAAAACTACTAAGCCCTGTGCTGTAACTACTGAAGCCTGTGCACGCAGAGCCTGGGCCCCAAAGAAGAGAAAGCACTGCAATAAGAAGCCCATGCACCAAAGCTAGAGAGTAGCCCCCACTCACCACAACTAGAGAAAGCCGGCACAAAGCAACGAAGACTCAGTGCAACCAAAATTAAATAAATAAACCTTTTTTTTAAAAGCAAAAACTACAAATAGTCAAAAACATCAGTTACTGGGTGACTGGATAAACAAAATATGATATAGCCATACAATGGAGGTAATAGTAATTAGAGTGACCTCAATACTTCCAATAGGCAAATTAAGAAGTATTTTTCTTTACACCTACAAATCAGGAACAGAGGCATCCCACACTCATGACCACCTCACTAATATGACAAAGGGAATCAAAATGATGGTGGGTGAAGCCAACATCACAAAAAATGGGGCAGAGAACGAACTGGTTGATTTAAAAATCCAAAATCAGCTACTGCTGACAAAATGAGAAAGACCCAGGAACACTGTCTATAATTTTATGGAACAGGAATGTCATAGGGGGACCCTTGTCAAAACTTACAGTTATTGGTTTCAGTGGGTGATAGTCCCCAAACTCCAGTGGTACAGCCTCCAATCGGCATGACGCAAACTCAGCCTTGTAGTTCCTATTCCTGGAATGCCTGGTAAACAGCAAAACCCAGAAACCAATTAGTTGGAGATGCATACACATTAAAAAGTTTTTGCTACAAAAAAAAAATTGCTTTTGATGAGACAGTTGACAGTGGAACAGTATTTCTACCAAGACCAGTAAGTAATAGTAATTTTATTTTTTAACTTTTTAAAGGTTTGAAGGTATAAAGAGCTGCCAAGGGAAACAAAACCTGTGAGGCCAGACACTAGAACAAAGGGAAGCTCACTGAGGTGAAGCCCACTTCTTGCTGGCTATCTCTGGCTGGGCACTGCTGATTCTTGACATGGGACAAGAGGCTGAAGCCAGGCAGAGGATGGCTGCTACGAGGCAGAGCAGCCAAAGGAGCTTTAAGGAAAACTCACAAGGCTGGAGAGAGAAACTAGGGTTCAGGGCTAGGGAGACAGCCAGGGCTTGATGGAAGGGCTTCAGAAGAAAAGGAAATGCTAAAAAGTGAGAGATTTGGTCCTGGTTTCCCTTCAAAGCAGTCACCAATTAGCCTGTATAGAGCAAGAGGAAGAAGCCAAACAGATGAAGAGCAGACAGTTTCATCAGTCTTGTGGAGAACTAACAAGTGAAGGGATTAGTGAAAAGAAAACTAAAGGGGGAGAGATTATTCAAATTGACGCATGGAAAGGAGAAAACATGAAAAGCACAGAACAGTGGAAAAAACAAAAAGGACATGAAGAAATGCCTAACATACATATCTGAATCTTGAAGAAGAGAGAAAGAACAGGCAGAAGCAGTATTGAACAGACAATAGCTAAAAAATTTTCCAAACTAAAGAAAGACATCAATTCTCAGATCCAAGAAACACTTGTGCCCCAAGCAAGACAAGTATAAAAACAAAGCAAAAAACAACCATACTTTGGGCCTTCATAGCAAAATGGCTAAAAACGAAAATGAGAATTTCTTAAAAGAAATAAAGATATGTTATTGCCAAAGGACAACACTAAGATTATTATCTCTGCAAAAAATGAGATCCAGAAGACAAAGGAATACTGGAGTATTAGAGGACTGAAAGAAAATAATTGCTAACCAAGAATTTTAGACCTAGTTAAACTATCCTGCAAAAACTAGAGCAAAACAAAGAAGTTTCCAGTCAAAGAAAAGGGAGAACAGCAGCAGTAGCAGAACCACACGTTAAACTCTTTTAAATGCTGAAAGCAGAAGGAAAATGATCCCAGCTGAAAGCAAAAAATATGCATGCATATATGTATTTCAGTTCAGTTCAGTCACTGAGTTATGTCCGACTCTTTGCCACCCTATGGACTGCATCCATATGTGACTACTGGAAAAACCACAGCTTTGACTAGACAGACCTTTGTTGGCAAAGTAATGTCTCCACTTTTTAATATACTGTCTAGGTTGGCCATAGCTTTTCTTCCAAGGAGTGCGCATCTTTTAATTTCATAGCTGCAATCACCGTCTGCAGTGATTTTGCAGCCCTAGAAAATCAAGTCTGTCACTTTTTCCATTGTTTCCTCATTTATTTGCCATGAAGTGATGGGACCAGATGCCATTATCTTAGCTTACTGAATGTTGAGTTTAAGCCAGCTTTTTCTCTCTCCTCTTTCACCTTCAAGAAGCTCTTTAGTTTCTCTTCGCTTTCTGCCATAAGGGTGGTGTTATCTGCATATCTGATATACAATGCATATGTGTTTACATACCTCTCTCTATATAATGTTTCAGTCCTGAATATTCATTGGAAGGACTGATGCTGAAGCTGAAACTCCAATACTTTGGCCACCTGATGCAAAAAACCAACTCACTGGAAAAGACCCTAATGCTGGGAAAGATTGAAGGCAGGAGGAGAAGGGGACAACAGAGGACGAGATGGTTAGATGGCATCACTGACTTGATGGACATGAGTTTAAGCAAGCTCCAGGAGATGGTGAAGGACAGGGAGGCCTGGTATGCTGCAGTCCATGGGGTCGCAAAGAGTTGAACACAACTGAGCAACTGAACAACAATGCATATATGCAATATGTACACTAAAGAGCACAAAAGACAAAGGTGTAGGTCAAACTAAATCAACTACAAAAAATAACTTCTTATGGTGTTTAAAATATACATAGAGTAAGAGTGCATGACAACTAGAACATAAAAGGCAGGGGAAAGTGAAAGTGAAGTTGCTCAGTCGTGTCTGACTCTTTGCGACCCCATGGACTGTAGCCTACCAGGCTCCTCGGTCCATGGAATTTTCCAGGCAAGAGTACTGGAGTGGGTTGCCATTGCCTTCTCCAGGGGATCTTCCCGACCCAGGGATCGAACCCAGGTCTCCCGCATTGTAGGCAGATGCTTTACCATCTGAGCCGGCAGGGAAGTCCAAAAGGCAGGGGAGGTACTACTTAAAAACTCAAAATTCCCACAGCACAGGAAGCTGGCCCCTTTGTTGCCTTGGCTCCAAACGCCTTGAATTCATCGCCCCCCACACCCACCCCCATTCACAGCTTCTTAACTTTATTAATATTTGTATGAACCCCAAATCTAGTCAGCACTTAATTGGCTTTACTCAGCCCCATCAACCCAGAAATCTAACACAGTACCAAAGAACTGAAATCCCATGTAATTTCACTTCTATCCCTTTCCAAATAAATTTCACTTTGGGTGTAGGAAAGGAGAAAAACTAGTGAACAATATGGACCAGCCTCTGCTTGTTTTTGTTTTTAAATGAAAACTCCTACCACAATATACTGCCTAGTTCCTTTGGGTCACATTTAGTAAATATATACTGCCTTCATGTTCCAGAAATATTGCAGCTGAATTCACGGCTGAAATATTCTTCCAAGCTCCTTTTAATACATCACCAACCAACTCTTGATTAATAAAACAAAACCCTGAAGAATAAATTGGAAGACTACTCATCAACAGCCCTAATGGAGTTTTAAAAATCAAATTATACTTTTCCTCCTTTCAGATCACTCTTAACTTTATCAATAGAATTCTGAAAAGCTAATTGAATGATTAGAAGTATAATCTGACCCGAAATTTAACTGCAAATGTGTTTTTCACCTCTATAATAATTATTAGCAAATCAACAGCTGCAGAATGCATAAAGCACAAAGTCAAAACAACAAGATGATTTGACATGCAACCAAATATCTGTTCTCATTTATTACGTGCTTATTATTGTTGGGGTCCACAGTAGGCCACCCCAAAATATGGCATATTGATTATTTTGATTTAAAGTTACTTAAGGAAAAGCTGATGTAAAAAGGGACACTTTGACCCTCCTCTCTGTCTTCCTGAAAGCAGGAAATAAGTCTCCCATGTGAGAAGTACTCTCCCTGAATCTGAAGGTACAAGGACACCCTTGTCACCAGAGACAGGGAATTCAGGGACAAGAAGTGTATAAAAACGAACCACATTATGTCTTTACTACCACAAGTCTGCTGTTTAGATTCTTCACTAATTAAGCACCCAAAGCCTAACTTGGAAATACTAGAGAACTAATCTTTCTTCCTTCCTAACTAGGAAAGACTAGAGATCTCTTCAAGAAAATTAGAGATACCAAGGGAATATTTTATGCAAAGATGAGCACAATAAAGAATAGAAATGGTGTGGCCCTAACAGAAGCAGAAGATATTGAGAAATGGTGGCAAGAATACACAGAACTAGACAAAAAAGATCTTCATGATCCAGATAACCACAATGGTGTGATCACTCACCCAGAGCCAGACATCCTGGAATGAAAAGTCAAGTNAGATGAAAGTGAAAGAGGAGAGTGAAAAGTTGGCTTAAAACTCAATATTCAATAAACTAAGATTGTGACATCTGGTCCCATCACTTCATGGCATAGATGGGGAAACAACGAAAACAGTGAGAGACTTTATTTTCTTGGGCTCCAAAATCACTGCAGATGGTGACTGCAGCCATGAAATTAAAAGATGCTTGCTCCTTGGAAGAAAAGCTGTGACCAACCTAGACAGCATATTAAAAAGCAGAGACATTACTTTGCCAAGAAAGGTCCATCTAGTCAAGGCTATGGTTTTTCCAGTAGTCATGTATGGAAATAATAGTTGGACTATAAAGAAAGCTGAGTGCTAAAGAATTGATGCTTTTGAACTGTGGTGTTGGAGAAGATCCTTGACAGTCTCTTGGAATGCAAGCAGATTCAACCAGTCAATCCTTAAGGAAATCAGTACTGAATAGTCATTGGAAGGACTGATGCTGAAGCTTAAAGTCCAATACTCTGGCCACCTGATAAGAAGAACCAACTCATTGGAAAAGACCCTGATGCTGGTAAAGACTGAAGGCAGGAAAGAAGGGGATGACAGAGGATGAGATGGTTGGATGGCATCACCGACGCAATGGAAATGAGTTTAAGTAGGCTCCAGGAGTTGGATAGGGATGCCTGGCGTGCTGCAGTCCATGAGGTCACAAAAAGTCTGACAAGACTGAGTGAACTGAACTGAACTGACTGAAAGCCTAACTTTTTTTGTTCTATCAATTCCTCACAAGTTTATAGTTCCTTTGTCTAAAAATGTAGAAGAGCTGCCTACTGTGACCACTTCTTAGGTCTCATTTCTATGAGACCTCCAAGACACATAAATTAAAATGTTTCTTTTCTCCCATTGATTTATCAGTTTATTTTATTTGTCAGTTTTATTAGTCCAGCCACAAGAAATCAAGAGAGTGGGGGCAGAGGGGAATTTCCCCTCCCTGACACTATACATCAGGATGCAGGTCAAGGCCTTTACCCTCTATTACCACATTTAATACTTTGGCCACCTGATGTGAAGAGCTGATTCACTTGAGAAGACCCTGATGCTGGGAAAGATATGAGGGCAGGAGGAGAAGGGAACGATAGAGGATAAGATGGTTGGACAGCATCACAGACTCAACGGACACGGGTCTGAGTAAACTCCAGAGTTGGTGATGGAGAGGGAGGCCTGGCATGCTGCGGTTCATGGGGTCGCAAAGAGTCGGACACAACTGAGCAACTGAACTGAACTGAACTGAACCACAATTAATCAACTTTATGAGGTAGGCACTATGATTATGCCCATTTCTCAGATGGAGAAGCAGACACTGTTGGTTAACATGAGACAGATGAACATGTGACAAAGACAGATGCATATTGAGGCAGCCTGCCTCTAGGATTCAGCAGTTCTATAGATCATCCACAGGTCATCTTGAGAATTTGAAAAAGCAATTGTCATTTTAAGGATTGAGCTTTGAAATGATTTTTTTTTTAAGTTTGAGGGAAGGATTCTTTCGGGAAAAAATACTGCTTCTGATAAGAACAAAACCTTTTAAAAAAAAGGAAAAGAAACATTTACCCTTCCTGAAAGTCCATGTCAAGTTGCTATTTTGATTTTTCAATCACATTTTCTATTACTTCCATTATTTCCTCAACTCTGCTCTCAGTTCCTTGTATGTGTGTGCGTGCGCGCACGCATGCATGTGCACTTAGTCGTGTGTGACTCTTTGTTGCCACATGGACTGCAGCCCATCAGGCGCCTCTGTTCACGGAATTTTCCAGGCAAGAACACTGGAGTGGGTTGCCATTTCCTATGAAAGCATTTTCTTCAAAACCTGGGCCTTTGATATGGCCAACAGTGACCTCTAGTGGGCATTTTCTCAAAAAGTCTTACTTTTCTTCTTCCTGTGAATGCACCTGATAAACTGGTAAAAATCCCCCCAAATCCCAGCTCCTAGAAATGCAAAAGGTTGGTCAGGTTCCTTCGTAGCTGCCACAGAAAAAAGGCCAACATTATACCTCCACTCTGAGCTTAGTCTGACCTCTGGCTGCTCCAAGTATGGCCCACAGATCATCAGCACGGGCTTCACTGGGAAGTGTTGAAATATCCCGGCTTAGAGAATAAGGGTCTGTATTTCACCAAAATTCCCAAGTGATTGAAATGCACATTAAAGGCTAACACTGCCCTAATTTTAAATTATTTACAATGAATAACACGAATGCATATAAATCCTATTACCAGTTACTAAATGAATCTCCTTATATTGGAAATACTAAAATCCACTAACTCCTTTTTTTAAAATAATTGAATTATTTATTTTTGGCTGTGCTGGGTCTTCACTGCTGCTTGGGCTTTTCTCGAGCTGCAGCAAGCGGGGGCTACGCTCTAGTTTGGCTGCTCAGGCTTCTCAATGTGGTGGCTTCTCTGGTCGCAGGCGTGGGGAGTTGAAGCTCCGGGGCTCTAGAGCACAGGCTCAATAGCTGTGGCTCACAGGCTTAGTTGCTCCAAGCTATGCGGGATCTTCCTGGATCAGGGATTGAACCCATGCCTTCTGCACTGGCAGGTGGATTCTTCAACACTGAGAGACCACGGAAGCTCCAACCAACTGCTTTTTAATTCTCCAGTGATTTTTTAATTGCTAACGACATAATCTGGCCACACAGCTTTTTCTCCCCCAATCACAATGTACTCCCTTCCCTAATAGTCTTAAAATGATATAGAAATTCTGACTCCAAGGAACTGTTATTTTTAACAGCGCTACGACCATGGGATTGAACAGGAAATGCCATCCACAGTGCACTGGACATCTCACAAGTGAAGTCAGTGATAACAAAAAGTGTGGGTGAAAAGAGGTATTCTGGGGAGACCCAAGACAACACGAGCAGGACTCAGGAGCCGTGCAATCCAAGAACCTCAGCCCACGACCTAGGCTGAAGACCAGCTGATGATTAATGAGTAAGATCACAGGATGGATAAACATACCACATGACACAGCAATCCCACTACTGGGCATACACCCAGAGAAAACCAAAACTGAGAAAGACACATGCACCCCAGTGTTCAGTGCAGCACTATTTACAGTAGCTAGGGCATGGGAGCAACACAGATGTCCACTGGTAAATGAATGGAAAAGGAAGTTGTGGTACATATACACAACGGAATAATACTCAGGTATAAAAAGGAATGTATTTGAGTCAGTTCTAATGAAGTGGATGAACCTAGAGCCTATTATACAGAGTGAAGTAAGTCAGAAAGAGAAAGACAAATATCATATATTAACACATATATATGGAGTTTAGGAAGATGGTACCAATGGTCCTATCTTCAGGGCAGCAAAGGAGACATGGATGTAAAGAACAGACTTTTGGACTCAGTGGGAAAAGGAGAGTGTGGGATGATTTGAGAGAATTGCACTGAAATATAAATATTAGCATATGTATTTATGTAAAATAGACAGCCAGGGGGAGCTTGATGTATGACGCAGGGCACCCAGAGTCAGTGCTCTGTGACAGCCTGAAGGGATGGGTGGGGAGGGAGGTGGAAGCCGGGTTCAGGAGGGAGGGGACACGTGTATGCTGATGGCCGATTCATGTAGGTGTATGAAAAAAACCATCACAATATTGTAAAGTAATTACCCTCCAATTAAAATTTTTTTAAAAATCACAGGCTTGAGCTCCAAACCTCAGTGCTCCTTGCAGGCTGTAAAACTAAGTGAACTGCTTCATCTTTCTGTCTCCATTTTTTCATCTGAAAAATGGGATTTTTAGGAGATAAGATGTTGCACGCCAGGGGAGCCTGGCATGCTGCAGTCCATGGGGTCACCGCTCAGAGCACAGCATCCAGCACAAAATAAAAGCTCAATAAATATCTCAGTTAAAGTCACAAACACTCTTCTCCTCTGAGGGCCTCCTTAGTTTCCTCATTCATTCCATAATATTATTCAACACCTACTATCTGCCAAGCTCCATGCCAAGCACTGGAAATACAATGATGGTTAAAATTCAGTCCCTTTAACGTGAAGAGCATCAAGTCTCAAGAGCAAACTGAAAGATGAACACGTGCTACCACAGACAGAAATGTTTAGAGGACAGTCAGAGTAGGAACTGTGGAAACCCTTGATGCTAAAAGCCTTATGGCTCCTCTCTCTGTAAAGTAAAATATATATATTGTCATTGTTTAGTCACTAAGTCTAAACAACTCTTTGCATCCCTCTGTCCATGGAATTTCCCAGGCAAGAATACTGGAATGGGTTGCTATTTCCCTCTCCAAGGGATCTTCGTGATCCAGGGATCAAACCCTAGTCTCTTGCATTGGCAGGTGGATGCTTTGACCACTCTGAGCCACCTGGGAAGCCGCAAAGTAAAATATACCAAAGGTTAAAATGCTCTGAAATTAAACAGCATCTTCCTGGATCTTCTAATTACAAAATTCCAGCTAAGTTCACTAAAGCCATATTTTTTGGCATTTAAGTCTTAGTAATTCCCTAAAAAGACTTTTTCATGACTAGATCAAAGAAAACTCAGGGCAGGACATATAAGAACTCACTGTCATCTAATCCTAATTTAGTGTACAGAGGCTTTGAAGGAAGACTTTAAAGAGTTAGCCAGCTGAAGGAAATACAAACCAGAAGCATGTATCTGATTATTTCTAAGGTCCAGGGCTGTGTATTTTTTCATTTGTTTGCTTACTCGCTCATTTAACGTAAACCACGTCACATCACTTGCACAGAAAGATTAGAAAGTAATTTCCCTTTCCGAGATGTAGAGGAAAGCTCACATGTCCATATGATTCCACTACTATCACAACTTGCTCCGGTTCTTCACAAAACCGTCCTGGGAAATCCCATGGACAGAGGGACGCAAAGAGTTGTTTAGATTTAGTGACAAAACAACAACAATATATATATATTTTACTTTACAGAGACAGAAGCCATAAGGCTTCAGCTGTTGCTGAAGCGCCAATCTCTCGTAACTACTCCAGCAGGAGGGACCCTACACACTCATGAGGCTCGGCACACACCCACAGCTCCTTCTCCATGAACTCCTAATTCATCCTCCAAAACTCAATTTAAGACTTCCTCTCTCAAGCCTTCCCCAAGCCGTCAGGTGTGCCTCATCCCAAAGCCTTCTTTGGTCATTCCTCTATTCTGCGTATCTGCTCCACTAAACAGCAGCTCCTCGGATCCAAGGAGTATGTCTAAGGGTTCGGTATCCTCCAGTTCTGCACAGAGTAGGATGAATGGCAAGTCTCCTCCACAAGAAGCCAGTCATTCAGAACACAGCCAGGTCCTCCGAGTTATCCAGACCAGAGATGAGTCCACCATTCTCTGCATCCGCGCCCCCGGAACCCGCGCCAAGTTCTGGGAAAGCGGAAGCCAGGGAACTTGAGTTTGTTTTGGAGAAAACGAATGGAGAAAGGAGCGTGGAAGGCGCGGGGAGGGCGATAGGAGGAGAGGACCAAGATCCCACCGGTCCGGCATCAGGAATGTCCTCTGAATCCGGGTAGTGGCTCCACCCGGAGACTGGGTGGGAGACTTCAACCCCAACGGAGAACAGTTATACACACCCTCGCAGAGATACACCCCCAGAAACAGAGTCCCAAAGAGAACCAAGGCCACCACCTCCCTAAAGCCCACTCGCCGCTTCCTCCTTACCAGGGAAAGGCGGCCATCTTCCCAGTCACATGACCGCTGGGTCTGGGACCGCCCTCCCAACTCACCCTCTCAGGCCCCGCCCCGCCCGGCCGCCATGTTTGCGAGGGGCGGGCTCACTCCGGCCGCGTCGGGGCCGCAGTGGTTGTCAGGAGCGCCGAAGGCGGCAGCCGCTGTAGCGCTGACGTCAGTGGGGATTTTTGTAGCAGGTGAAACGTCTGGTCCGCAGCACCGTCTGGAGGCGGTGCAAGAATCCAGACGCCTACTGAGGGAAAGGGACGACAGAGATGGTTGGATGGCATCAGGGAGTCAATGGACAGGAGTTTGAGCAGACTCTGGGAGATGGTGGAGGACAGGGGAGCCTGGCGTGCTGCAGTCCATGGGGTCGCCGAGAGTCAGGCACGACTGAGCGACTGACCAACAACTGAGGGAAGATGCTAACCCAGCAGAGGGTGGGAAGAAGGTGCCCCTAGGCTTGCTTTCGAGGCTAATTCTGTTTGGCTGGCTAAGCCACGCCCCCTCTGCCAGTCAACCACGCCCCGCTCGGTGCACCGAAAAAGTGAGGCACTTCCGATATTCTGCTCCCAAGAATAATACCGTGCGTCTCTAAGGGCTGCCCTAGATCCAAATGGACAGCTCTCGACTGGAACTAAACTGGAAAAATGGGGGTTAGCATTTCACCCCATTTAGCAGAGCCGTACGTTTCTATGAAGGTGGTTGTTCGTTTTCACTAGACCTTCGTGTGCTCTGGTGTCTTCTCTGATTTAAAAAAGAAAAAAAGAATTCAGAGTATTTTAACAAATGCTTACTATTGTAGCTTACCTTGTGTCTCAGATGGTAACGAATCCGTCTGCGATGCAGGAGACCTGGGTTCGATCCCTGGGCTGGGGAGATCCCCTGGAGAAGGGAAAGGCTACCCACTCCAGTATTCTGGCCTGGAGAATTCCATGGACTGTATAGTCCATGGGCTCGCAAATAGTCGGACACGGCTAAGCGACTTTCACTTTCACACCATTGTAAGTAAACATGTGTCATGCTGAGGAGTTTGCATTCAATTTTCATTTATTTTTGGCTAAACCTCTGAAATAAACACCATTATCACCTGGTCCCATTACTTCATGGCAAATAGATTGGGAAACAATGGAAACAGTGAGACTTTATTTTCTTGGGCTCCAAAATCACTGCAGATAGTGACTGCAGCCATGAAATTAAGACACTCCTTCGAAGAAAAGCTATGACAATCCTAGACAGCATATCACAGAGACATTACTTTGCCAGCAAATGTCCATATAGGCAAAGCTATGGTTTTTCCAGTAGTCATGTATGGATGTGAGAGTTGGACCATAAAGCTGAGTGCCGAAGAATTGATGCTTTTGAACTGCAGTGTTAGAGAAGACTCTCGAGAGTCCTTTGGACTGCAAGGAGATCCGACCACTCCATCCTAAGGAAATCAGTCCTGAATATTCATTGGAAGGACTGATGCTGAAGCTGAAATTCCAATACTTTGGCCACCTGATGTGAAGAGCTGACTCACTGGAAAAGACCCTGATACTGGGAATGATTGAAGGCAGGAGGAGAAGGGGACAACAGAGGATGAGATGGTTGGATGGCATCACAGACTCAATGGACACGAGTTTGAGCAAGCTCCGGGAGTTGGTGATGGACAGGGAATCCTGGAGTGCTGCAGTTCATGGGTTCCCAAAGAGTCAGACATGACTGAATGACTGAACTGAACTGAATGACCTAGTATGGCTAGTAAGTGCCCCAACTGGGATTTGACCTGACTCCAAACCTGACTTCTAATCTAATGGAGATTTAATGGGGGAGACTGTTGGTTAACAGTTGGTTAATCACAAGGCAGCAACAGATCTTCACTTTCCCTTTTCAAGAGTTTTTGTTTTGTCTTTTTCTGACATAAAGAGGTCAGAAAACTACATTCTCAAAAACCTCCTCAGGAAAAGGCAATAGAACATACCCTAACCCTCTAATGGAATATGTTGTTTACCATGCTGAGTCCTAGTTTCTTCATCTTTGAAATTAGGATAATTCTGACTGAGATGAAGGGAAATGATTATAAAATGCCCAGCAAATAAATGATCTGCATTCAGTTAAGCAGTACATCACTCACTTGGAGGCTAAAAAATCTTATTGTACCTTCTGTGACCTTCCAGTCTTCAGAGCTTTTACTTTTCGTGGCAGCAGACTATGCAGCATATCATAAAGCAGGGCTTCTCCCATTTGAATTGCACAGATTCACCTGGGCATCTTGTTAAATGCAGGTTCTGATTCAGGTCTGGGGCAGTATCTGGACTTCTACATTTATAGCAAGTCCCCACATGGCACTGCTGCTGGTCTCTGGATACAGAAGGGACTGCAAGTTGGGGGGGGGGGGATGAGGGGGGCAGCATATAACTCAGGAGGCAGTAGAGCAGACCAACATCATTCGCTCCTTAGCACATTCAATCACTGAATCTGAACCCTGTTTTATCAAGTGTATTACACAAGTAATGGAAGTAATCCTGAAACAGGCTGTTATGTAAAACATGAATGAGGGGTTTTTCCCACTGTAGGCTGAGAAACAAAACCATAGTTCTGGTGGCAACGCTGTCAACCACCTCAAGAAACTGACCAAAAACAAATACAGATTAAACAAATGAAAAGGTATTATTTTACTGTCAAGTATAATTTTGGTTAGACGTGTTTGTTCTCAGACCTGTTTCTAAAACCTAACCAATGTGACACCACTGTACCATATTCCATGACTGAGAGTCTTTGTTTTTCAGAATTACTTTTAAACCTGTATGTATGGTCACTATGGTCTGTTAGGGATAGCTTTCCAACTTCACTTTTTTTTTTATAACTACTATTCATTTCAGGGAAAGAAGGGGAGTTGTGTGTGGTTGTCCATGGGACAGTGACACCTAACCAAAAAAAAGATCTTCATCTCCAAAATGGATCCTTGTTTTCAGCTCAATATGAATAATAAAGTTAGCAGTCATACTCATTATTCCCAACATACGAAATAAACAAGAATAAAGGGCAGTCATAGGAAAAGGAAGTGCTTCTTCTCACACAGATTATCAAACACAGTATCTCCTCAACCAGAGGTGAAAACAAGGACCACTGGACTATCCTCACATTAGACAGTTGGGCAGCATCAAGAGTTGGATTCTTAACACTGCAAAATTAGCAGCTTGATATGAGCTTCAACCTTAGCCATTCTCTCCCATTTACTCAGCTCCAGCTGAAGACATTTCCAGCTCCAGTGAACTTCTGCCCTCTAAGAATTCATGTAAAATCAGATGCTGGGCCAAGCGCTGTTACAGGTTACATATTAAACAGTGGGACACATTTTTCACGGGTCTTGTAAAAAATGATCCTATTAAAGTATTAATGTCTTGGTCACATTCTTTTCAAAAGTCCTTTCTTTGGTAAATTTAAAAAAAACACACTAAATTTCTTTTACAATGAAAAATTTATTTTATTTACCTTTTGCCTAGAAGCAAAACTAGTGAAAATTAAAGTATAAAAATAAATATAATTTAATTAATGGACATTCCACTCAAAGTAAGAATAATAAAAATAATATATATAAATAAAAAGCACATTAAAAGCACAAAACAAAGTCTGGCACTTATGAAAAAAAAACTGTAACATTAAGAAATTCATAAAACATGCAAGCTTTACCCTTAAAAAAAAAATTCAAGTTCTGCATCCTTAATCCAAAACTAGTTTTAACTTTCTCTGAAACACACTATTTGTTATAGCCAATTTGCATTACTGTACCCAAAACATTTAGCATCTATCTTTCATACTGGAAAGACCCACAATGATAATAAGTAATCTGTATCCTGAGTTTTCAAAATGATAAAGCACAATTTATCATATTAAGAAGATCATTTTGATATACTTTGCCCAAAAATATAAATTGGTAATTCAGACATTTTTGACTGTGTTCTATTTCTGTGTAAATTTTCTGATTTACCCCTTAAATAAATGACACATCTCAATAAAGAAAATCAAGTTTACACTCAGAAGATTACAATTTTCTGTCTACAGTTGGATGGAAAAGTCAAATTTTAAAAGGAGTGGAAAATTGAAGAAAACCATCCTTATCTCAACATCCTTAAGAGAATATTAAGAATACATACAGTCTGCATTTTCAAAATACCAGTATCTTTTTAATATTCAAGTTAGAAAGATTAAATGCACACATAAATGTTCCCAATTTTACGAGAGAAGCACAAAGCCCTTTTGGAAATGGGCTTGATAAATTAACAATGACACTCTTTTTTATAAAGTCATATTCCCTTGGTAACTTTTTTTGGTTTATATTTTAAATGAATATGTCAGTGATGAAAAACCTTAAATATTAGTGTCTCATGTAATGCAGCCTTTCAACTTGAGTATTATCATCCCATTTGAAAATTTGAATTTATATTAGATAGCCCTTTATCCTCTCCTAAATCAAGCATGCTAAAAAAAAGCAGAGTATGAAGAAATAAACAGACTAAATAGAAAATGTAACTGCATGCAACATGTTATTCTATTTTACAGAAATAGATTTAATAATGCATTCATTCCTAAGCACTACTACATTCAAGATTGTGCTATCTTCCCCAAATTTGTTACCCTCAACAGATTTCATAGTTTAGTAGAAATGTTTCTGATATTACTGGGGTAACGTACGTTAAGCCTAACATTTCTGTAAGACAACTAGTTTTTGAGAAGAATGTACACTTGTGACCAAAATGATGACACCCAGCTACGGTGGTACATTTTAGGTAGACCACAATAAATACAATAGTGTTTTATCCTATGAGATTACATCATAAATCCAAGAATATGAGAGATTAATCAGAGTTTTTGCAGTAATAAAACAAAAGAAAAACATTCTTCTGCAATAATTTCCTCCTAAACAGAACAGTAATTTATCAGTGTGCTAAGATGAATGAACTTTATATTTCAGAACTTATTTATAATTTATCACACCTTTTCAATATTTTATAGAAATAAACCCAAATGTCCTTTAAGTTTACAAAAAGGTTCTCAACAGACACCTGAGTAATAAAACAAACTTATAC